AGGAACACGTCAAGGATGCCCACTCTCGCCACTATTGTTCAACATAGTACTAGAAGTCCTAGCAACAGCAATCAGACAACAAAAAGAAATAAAAGGTATTCAAATTGGCAAAGAAAAAGTCAAACTCTCTTTTTTCGCAAAAACATGATACTTTATGTGGAAAACCCAAAAGACTCCACCCCCAAATTACTAGACCTCATACAGCAATTCAGTAATGTGGCAGGATACAAAATCAATGCACAGAAATCAGTTGCTTTCTTATACACTAACAACACAACTGTAGAAAGAGAAATTAGAGAAACAATTCCATTTACAATAGCACCAAACCCATAAGATACCTCGGAATAAACCTAACCAAAGAGGCAAAGGATCTATACTCCAGGAACTACAAAACACTCATGAAAGAAATTGAAGAAGACACAAAAAGATGGAAAAACATTCCATGCTCATGGATCGGAAGACTAAACATTGTTAAAATGTCTCTGCTGCCCAGAGCAATCTATACCTTCAACACCATCCAGATCAAAATTCCAATGACATTTTCAAAGTGTTGTAACAATCCTAAAATTTGTATGGAATCAGAAAAGACCCCAAATTGCCAAGGAAATGTTGAAAAAGAAAAACAAAGCTGGGGCATCACGTTGCCTGATTTCAAGCTATATTCAAGCTGTCCACCAAGACAGCATGGTACTGGCACAAAAACAGACATAGATCAGTGGAACAGAATAGAGAGCCCAGATATGGACCCTCAACTCTATGGTCAAATAATCTTCGACAAAGCAGGGAAAAATATGCAATGGAAAAAAGACAGTCTCTTCAATAAATGGTGCTGGGAAAATTGGATAGCCATGTGCAGAAGAATGAAACTCGACAATTCTCTAACACCATTCACAAAGATAAACTCAAAGTGGATGAAAGACCTCAATGTGAGACAGGAAACCATCAAAATCCTAGAGGAGAACATAGGCAGTAACCTCTTCGACATTGTAGGTTCCTTTAAAAGAAGAGTCAGATCTTGAGAATAAGTATCAAGCAAAATATTAAAGCCTTAGACTGTTCACAAGCTGAAGTGCAGAGAGCACTCATAGACATGGTCCTCACCAGCCTCTTTTCTTTCTGCGTTCATCTTCAGCATCCTGCCCTTGGGCACATGTGTGCTCACCCACACCCAGCCCTAGCTGTTCTCCAAGCAGCTATGTTGCTGCTGGCCTCTGAGCCTTGCCCAAGTTGCCTAGGGTGGGGAGCCACCTGCAGTGGTGGAAGGAGCATGGATTTAACTGCCTCTCAGATCTGTTCTAAAATCCACCCCCACTTGCTTCCTGCAGTTGTGGGATCTTGATTTGGCTGTGAAATGCAACAACTTAGCCCCCCACAGCTTGTTCTGCTCACTTTAAAGTGATGAGCTCCCCACCATTCGCCTGGGTTACAGTATGTGGTACCTGATGCCCCTAATCCTTTCTCAGCAAAGCCCTCCCAGTCATGGATGCATTATAAGTGTTTATGGGAGAGCTGAAGCTTCTATATTGGAGAAAAATCATAGGTTGCAGGGCTTAATTTTTACACTAACGATGGGCAAAAGCAGTGAACTTCTTCATTTAATCCTCATAATTAGGTAGGACGTACAGAAATAAAATCTGTGAGCAAAGTTCATAGTGGGACTGTTTGGTAGTATATGTGTGACTCAGTAGGAAGGAAGGAAGATCTGTTGGTTTTACTGACTTTGTGATTCTCCAAATAAAAAATAGCTTTAAAAAGTCCAGTTTGTTCAACCTGAATGCCATCTTATGCTTTTTATTTATGTTTGTCCAAAGTGGCACCCTTCAGGATAGACATTTCATTCTGATATTACTGATTTAATCTTTCTGATCAAAACTTAGGAGGAGAAAACCACATCATCAGTTTTTCCATTTTCTGTCCTGAGGAGCATCAGTTATAAGATAAATCTAATAGTTACTATGACAAAAGGATTAGACTTAGATGACTTTGTCCTTTAATTTATATTGTGTTTTCTTGTTTGTTTTTTTACAAAACTTCTGCAGCAATTTTAGACTTCTTAGTTCTTCTTAAATAGTTTTCCACCTATTCATTCCATGAAGGAAGGCATTTCTCTCAGTTCCATCATTGACTCTATTTTCTTTTCACCTTTATCCCTATTCCTTGAAGGATCTCATCCATACCTATGGCTTCAACTGCTGCCTAACTCTTGATCCTCAAATCTGTATTTTTAGCCCAGGTTTCTCTCCTTGGCTATGCCATGGTTAGAACCAATTTCTAAATGAATGGCTTCACATGCACTTGAATGAATCAAAGGCACCTCAACTTGCATATTCCTAAAAAGGAATTCCTCTTCTCTACCCCTTCATAAGCTCCATACTTATATTTTGTCTTGATAAATGACTCAAGCCAGAAAATTGAAGATATCCTACAATATCACTCTTTCCTATTTCCCATATTCAAAATCAGTCACTATGTTCTGTTGATTTTATCTTAAATTTTTTTCTTAATTTTTTTTCTTAAATCTAGACCTTTTTCTTTCCTTCGCGTTAGTTGAGCACATGGTCCTCTCTCACTGGAATTATTACAGTATTCTTGTAACAGGTCTTCTGGCTCCTAACTTAACTCCTTCCAATTTATCACCTACACTGTTACCAGTGTGACTTTTCTAAAATGAAAAACATGCCCCTCCCTACTTAAATACCCCCAGTCGCTTCTCTTTGTCTCTTGGAAAGCTAAACCCCTTTAATCTGCCACTCTCCTTAGCCTCAAGTTTTGCTAATCTTCAGCCCCCATCATGCATGTAGGCCTTTTTGGGCTCCTCAAAAGTGTTATCCTTTCTTATTCTTCTGTACATGCAATTTCTATCTCTCTACAATGTACTTCTTTCCTCATACTCTCTTCTTCTGTTTGCTCAATTCCTATTGAAGTTTTTTTTTTTTTTAGATTTATTTATTTATTTGAGAGAGAAAGTTAGAAGGAGTAAGTTTGGGGGGAAGGCAGAGGGAGGGAGAGAATCCCTGTTGAGCATAGAGCCTATCGCAGGGCTTGATCTCATGACCCTGAGATCAGAACCTGAGCTGAAATTAAGAGTTGGATGCTTAACTAACAGCCACCCAGGCACCCCTCCTATTGAAGTTTTAAGGCTTAGAAACTGGGATAATTTTCTGGGTGAAATAAGTCAATCAGAGAAAGACATGTATGATCTCACTGATATGAGGAATTCTTAATCTCAGGAAACAAACAGGGTTGCTGGAGTGATGGGGGGTAGGGATGGGGTGGCTAGGTGATAGACATTGGGGAGGGTATGTGTTATGGTGAGCGCTGTGAATTGTGTAAGATTGCTGAATCACAGACCTGTACCTCTGAAACAAATAATACATTATATGTTAAAGAAGAAGAAGAAAAGAAGAAGAAGAAGAAGAAGAAGAAGAAGAAGAAGAAGAAGAAGAAGAAGAAGAAGAAGAAGAAGAAGGAGAATATAGCAGGAAGGGAAAAATGAAGGGGGGAAAATTGGAGGGGGAGATGAACCATGAGAAATTATGGACTCTGAGAAACAAACTGAGGGTTCTAGAGGGGAAGGGGGTGGGGGGATGGGTTAGCCTGGTGATGGGTATTAAAGAGGGCACGTACTGAATGGAGCACTGGGTGTTATATGCAAACAATGAATCATGGAACACTACATCAAAAACTAATGATGTAATGTATGGTGATTAACATAACGTAATAAAATAAAAAAAAAAAACTGGGATAATTTTCTTTCACCCTGCAGTTTGGCTTAGCTGTTCCTACTCTGTGCTCATGTAATGCCTCATGCATGCCTCTGAGTACTTCATAGTCCTGTAACTGACTCTAACTTCTTTGACTCCCAGTGTAAGGTAAACTCCTTAAGAGTAAGAACCATATTCTTCATTTCTATATCCAGAGTCTGACACAGCGCCTGACATACACAAATAGCTACAGAATTAGGTTCAGATCATCACAGAATTCATCTCTATGTACCTGACTCTATGCTCTACCACATTTGATTTAAGTTAATGAATTCTTCAAATTTTTGTTCAAATTGTTTCTTTCCCTTGGGAAGTTCTTCCTTCTTTTCTTAACCTATTTAATCCTGTTATTGGCAAGGCTCAGTTCAAGTCCCACTTCACCCTAACCTCCCAGTTGGAGTTGATTCAGTTTTCTTATTCCTGAGATGATTTACAATCTGTAATGCTCACTTAGTTAGCAATGTTCACTCTCTCATAAGTGATCTTTTCATTTGTATGGATCTGATGTCTCCAATTGGATTGTGAGTCTTTTGAGCTCAGGCTGAGACCATGTCTTCTTCTTCCTTGAGAGTGCATAGGAAGGAGATTGTCTGACATTCTTCTAGTTTAGTATTTGAGCAGTTTATTTAACAGGATGACATGACTTTTGGAGCCAAGAGTCAGAATAGTACTTAAAGTTTACTTTTGGTTACCATTTTCATAGCAGAAATAAACTTCAGAATGATAGTCCTACTTAGTCTCATTTTATCTTTTTAACAATTCTTGGGGCCATTTTACAGATGAATAAATGAAAGTAAGAAGACATAAAATACCCTATTAAAGGGGTGACAGCAACTCAGTGACAAAATTACTTCACTGTGTGGAAAATAGCAGATAGTGCTCAAAATATTAATAACAATACCCTAAAAGACTAACATTTACACAAGAAGTTAGAAAGCATATTTCCTTTTTTCTTATAAAATTGGGAAGTATTAACAACATTTACTGTGCATTTATTCATTTAGAAAATATTGAAAATCTGCCATTTTATAAAACACAGACACAGTTCCTAAACTCTGTCATGAAAGGATATCTTAACAGCATTTGAATTGTAGTCTAGACGGTGTATTGATTATGATAGTCTGTGAACTTTTAAGAATATTTTAAAGGTCTCTTTTAAACAATTGACCCTACTTTGTTTATTAGAAGAATCCTTGAAATGGCTCTTTATCTCTGCTGTGTTGCCTGTATTTTAAGGTGTCATAACTCTGGAATTTCCAGCATCACGTTTACTGATCATTCTCTATGTGAAATTCTCTCTATTCTTGGTTATCCTGGTCATCGAGGGATTCATCTACTTCCAGAGAATAAATGATTGCAGGTAGGCAATGAAGTCTAAAAAAATATAGACTCATTAGAAAGAAAACATCATTAGAAGGCTTTAAGTTTACAATGTCCTGGGAACAGCTTGATGCATTTTTTGGCACATTGTTTGTTCCCCTAGCCCTTTCTTTGATGTATAAGCTTTGTTAACACCGGGGAGCCCAGGCAGAGATGCCTGCAGCACTGGGGCAAAAGTTTCTGTTTCATTACAGTGCTTTCCTGAGAGATAACCTGTCCTGGGCCACCCTTCAAGAATTCTGTGGGGGAAATGAAGTTCAACTGGTGCTTCTTAAGTGTTTACTCCCTAGTTTCTATGCCTCTGAAGGCTTGTATTCATTGCACTAATTATATATTTTATGTTTTTTTCATAGAGCATGAAATTGAAAAATCTGGAAGTCAATTTAGATTTGATGAGACATCATGAAGATCAGCCTTTGGGTTCAGCATCTAACTCAACTGCTCCTATTACGAATTGATACCTTTGTGTTTATGTGAATCGCTGTGATAGTTGGCAAATCCTGTTTCAAAGTCTTAGCAATGTGTATTTATACACACGCCAAAGCTTGCTGCCTGCCATTATAAATGCCTGGGATGAGTCATCTACTTTCTCCTTTGCCTTACTGAGTTCTTATTTGCAAACAAAAAATAGCCCTGCTTCTTAGCCTAAAGAGGAAGATGGCTCAGCAAATGGCAAATTACAAGGCTTTGCAGTTTTTCTGTACCCCTTTGGGTTCTTTGGATAGTGCTTCTTGTTTCCTCTGCCCCTTTAAGATGATAAATAATGTTGCAATGTCAGAAGCCACTACAAACACTGCCTTCCAGTTGATCTGTAGCCAACTTCCCGTCCCTTTCTTGCTTGCTAGCAATTAGTGCATGTTTGGCCTGGTCATTGAATAAATGGCCAGGAGTCATTTTTAGCAGTACCTTTATTTTCAAAGAAATTATAATGTGATCCCAAATGAGGAGCTCTTAGAGTCATTGGTGCTGAATGTCCCCTCAACTTTTAGAGCTCCATTGTCTCAATTCTCTCTCATCTGTACTCCAGGTTGGAATGGATTAATGGTGGTAAGAATAAGAGTTCTTGGTGAAACCCCAACATCTTCTAGGGCCACTGTAAACAGGAACCCTATCTTCATTGGTACATATGGTAATCCTATAGTAAAAAGTATCCTTTTATTTAAAGGAAAAATTTCTTGTGTAAGGTGGCAGGTGATTCAAGCTATTACTTTTTTTTTATTATTATTCATTCGAGACACAGAGATACAGAGAGAGAGAGAGAGAACATGAGCAGGGAGAGAAGCAGAGGGAGGGGGAGAAGCAGGCTCCCCGCTGAGCAGGGAGCCCGATGCGGGGCTCGATCCCAGGACCCTGGGATCATGACCTGAGCCAAACACAGACGCTTAACCTTCTGAGCCACCCAGGTGCCCCTCAAGCTATTACTTTTATTTTTAGCAAAGCCCAAAGGGAGAAAATGAATGCAGACTACTATCTGGAAGATAACATATAGGTAGGTTAGTCTAATTGTTGAAACAAACAACCTCCCAATCTCAGTGCATTCATACAACAAAAGTTTAATTCTTGCTCACATCATATCCCAGGGTAGGTTGGTGGATCTAGGTCAGGGAACAGGAGTGGTTCTGCTCTAAGGTAGCATTTTATCCTCTAGCTCTGCCCTTCTCAGAGTATTCTCCATTCAGCTGGTGAATGGGAAAGAGACAGAGAGAATGAGGGATTTTATGTAGGAGGTTTTTATGAACCAGGCCTGGAGAAGTAATGACATCTGTTCATATTCTATTGGCTAGTATTTGTCACATGGCCACACTTTTATGGAAGTTGGAGAATGTAGTGTAGCTGCCTCAGCAAAATAGAGTCAGGGTTTGGGTACAGATAGCTAGTTTCTGCCTACAGTAAAGAATAGGACAAGTGCTAAGATTAATACCTATTTCATTAGTAACTGAACATGAGCCAAGAAATCAACCAGTAAATAATTTCATATATAACTTATATTAGCTCTTTTCTCTCTCTCTCTTTTTTTTTTTAATTATAACTCCCTCATGTTTAAAACAGGGCACAGAATGGAAAAAAAGTCTAGTACCATAGTTCAATCACAGATTCAAAAACAATGAGGCACTGATTGCTAGTTGCCTGAGCCAATGCTCATCTTCCCCTTTCTCTGTGTGGTAGATTGTATTCATGACTCCAGATCTTTCTCCCTCCCTCAATCCATGTAATTTGTTAGTACTTTTTGAGTTGGAAACATAAAGCAAGTGCATGTTTCTCAAACTCATGTAATTTGCTTCAGCCAATCAAATGAGGCAGAAATGGCAGTGTACCAGTTCTGAGCTTACATCTCAAGAAGTCCTGTGTGTTTCTGTTGCTAGTCCATGAGAACGTGCCTGGGCTAGTCTGCTGGAGGATGAGAAACATGTAAAGCAGAGCTGGGTCATCCTAGTTCCCTTCGCCACCTCACTGTTGAGGCCAGCCTAGATAATGCAACAGTTAGTCATCTCTTAGACAAGGGAGAAGCTCAATCAAGGTCAGAAGAGCTGCCTAGCTGACCCTCGGATGATCCTAGTCATTTAAGCAATTGTTGCTACAGAGGTTTTGTGATTGTTACACAGCATTATTGTGGTATTAGATCTCTGATACAGTGCTTAAAGACATGATTCCAATTTTATTTTGTATGGAGACACATTTAACTAAAAGACATTTCTCAGTTTCCCTTGCAACTGAATATGACTACCCATTAAAATTTTTGCAAATAAGGTGTAAGCATATATCTTGTGTGATATTTTTAGGATATCTCTTTAAAGAGAAAGAAGAGATCTTCTTTTGCTTTTCCTCCTTATCTCCTGGACTACAACACTGGTGTAATGACTAGAGGTCCAGCAGCCAACTTGGGCCATGGATAGCATTGAGGATGGAAGCCACACACTAAGATGATGGAAAAGAAAGACAGAAGGATCCCGGGTCCTAATGACCATGGAGTTGTCATACTAACACTAGAATACCTACCATAAGATTCTTTTATGTGAGAGAAAATACACTACTGTGTTCATGCCACTGTTATTTTGAGTTTCACTCCATACACAGTTGAACTTAACCCTGGTTAACACAAGTACCTACTTTGCCAAATTCAAGGTTTGCTGTTAATCTTGCAACACTGGTTATACTCTATTCATGAGCATTTTTCATGTTCTATTTTCATTCTTCCCATAGAGATTATGAAACAGACATAACTTCAGAAGATAGCAATCATAGGTATAAGAGCATCTCCATGATAGTTCCAGAAGAATTGCTGGTTATGTAAAGCTGAAGGATACTGTGGACTTGTGATAGGAAAGGGCTTGGGAATCTAGAGATGTGCAAAATCATCTAATAGCCAATCCCTACACATGTGAGGACATGTCTGCATTACAGGATTGGGAAGATAAAGACACTGTTGTGGGCTCTTAAGAGAGGATCTGATCAGGAGAAACAGAGGAACTGAAATCTATGGGGCTTTATTGTGTTAATCCTTTTTTCTGCCATCATTGAAATGAAAGGACTCCATTATTCATGGAAGAGATTTATCTGAATTCATGCTTCTTCACTGCCATCATTTTCTATGTGATGTCAGATTGGAAGAGTAAAAAGCTATAGCTACTCTCTCTCAACCTCTTAGCCCTGCATAAAGATAAAAAACATTTTTTCTTTCTTAAGCACATATATGCATACATATATACATGCACAACAAATTAATTGTGGCCCTAAATTGAGGAAAATTGGGAGCAACCTTTAGCAAAACATAATTGAGAACCACTAGATGGTGCTTCAACTTAATTCTTTTAACATTTTGAAGAAAGCTAAAATCTAGCCTCAGATAGTAATCCTGTATTTTTTTCTTTAATTTTTCCACTCAACTGTCTCTACATTCATTAATTCTTTAGGTTTTCTGGGGTAATTTTAGGACAATTACAGAAGGAAGAAAACAATTGTTAAAATTAAAGAGAAAAAAATGTTTCGTTCCCAAACTTGAATTGTACTACTTCTGCCACTTAGTTTTGGTAGAAACATTTTGTTTATCAAACGAGATAAGGGTGGATATTAATAGTCTAGTTTCAGGGAAAGAGGAAATGTGAGACTCTCTTGGTGGTTAAACCAAAATCAGTATTCACTTATTTCTTAAATGGAGTGTTGAGATCTTCAATCACTAAAGAACCAAATAGCTGCTTGTTAGTGTTAACAGCAGCAGATGGTTCGAGCTACAAATAAAATTAGCCGGCCTTCTCTACTTCTTGGGTCCAACCCCATTTCTCATGGCCCATGACTTTGAGGCCTATCTGGTAAGAAGGAAGCTGCAGATAGGTAGACCAACTTCCTCATTTTACAAAAAAGGAAACTAAGACACTCAGAGTTAAGTGACTGTAGGGTGTTACTAAGAAGCCAGCTGGAGTGTGGACCTGCCTTGCTTGCTGATGAGAGCACTCGCAAAGTGGACCTTAGAGTTTGTTTTGTTTGGAGTGAGAATTGGGGTTCAAGAGGGAATTTATGGGAGTCTTCAAAAAAAGGACAAAATAAAAAAGTGAAATAACACATGAAATATTCATGAAATTAATTACTATCTTCAAGGAAGGATTGGATATTATTAAAAATTGAGTGTCACCACATGTCAAGGATATCACATTTAAGCTTTTTTTTTTTTAAAAAAAAAGATTTATTTTTTTGAGGAGGGGAGGAACAGAGAGAGAGGAAGAGAATCTCCAGCAGACTCCTGGCCGACCACGGAGCCCAATGCAGGGCTCGATTTCATGACCCTGAGTCATGACCTGAGCAGAAATCAAGAGTTGGACACTTAACCAACTGAGCCACCCAGGTGCCCCCACATTTAAGCTTTGAGAATACAAGTGCAATGGAGAGATTTTAAAAATCGCTTGTTTAAATCTTACTTCAGTCCTTTCTACAATTTGGAAGCAGGAAGACACAGAAGGGGAAATTTTTTCTGTTTAGGGAAATAAACCCACAGTTTAGAGAGTAAAGGTAAAGCTCAGGTCATAAAATGCATTGGGAATATCAAAATAAAGGGAACCAAAATGGTCAGCATAATTTTTTTAAAAAAGTTCTGTTTCTGGGCTCCAATGACGGGAATCTGGGGACCCTTGAGGAACCAGGTAAGAGAAGTAGACTAGGCCTTAGCTACAAAAAGAAAGTTGGGTGGTTGTAAATTCTCCATGATGGGGTAGCTAAAAAATTCTCGAATTAAGGATGCCTCTCTGTTAGCATTTAGTTAAAGTCTGTTATATACAACAGCCTTCATGTGATTAATAGTGATTTAAAAATGAAGGAAGAAGGAACCCTACCCACATCATGGGGAAAACAGTACACAGAAGGCAGCAGTTGCCACCTGGGTGATGAGAAACCAAGGGTGACCAAGAAACTGGTCTGGGATTTAAAGTTTATAGTAAGACATAACAAGAAACCAGCAAGGAAAGGCAGATCATGAAAACCCAGTACTGATGCTGTAATGGAGGTAGGTACACAATGCCAGAGCAATCAAAGGAAGGAGTACTCAATTCTGGCTGAACTTGTGGGTTGAAGGTCAGGAAAAGCATTGGATGAATTACAAAGCTTTCAGCTGCAATAAACAGAAAGTAGGGTTCTGAGTTAATCAATAAAAACATTTATTATCTTACATAAGAAGGCAACCAGAAGGGGCTCCTGGAAGGCTCAGTGGGTTAAGCATCTGCCTTTGGCTCAGGTCCTAATCTCAGGGTCCTGGGATCTAGCCCCACGTTGGGCTCCCTGTTCAGGAGGGAGTTGGCTTCTCCCTCTCCCTCTGCCCCCTGCCCTTACTCATGCTTTCTCTCTCTCTCACTCTTTCTTTCTTTCTCAAATAAATAAAATCTTTAAAAAAAAAAAGAAGAAGAAGAAGAAGAAGGCATCCGGAAGTAGAACCAACTTCAATCTGGTTGTTTCAATGGCTCTATGAAATCTTGAAGGGCCTGGATTTTATCCTCATCTGTGCTCTGCCGTTTTCAGTGTTTGCTTCATCCTCAGGCTGGAAGTGAGAAGGCGGCGGCCCCCCTAAGGCCATATGTCATGTTCAGAGGAAGAGGGTTGACCATCTCTTCCTCAAATCCCATCTTACTCATGAGGACCAAAAGCCCCACATTCGTTTCTTCTCCTAATTGGCCAAAGCCACAGGACAATTCTTTATCTAATCTCTGGCAGAGCCCGAGATTTTCTTTGTGTTGATCAGGACTTCTGTGGAGCTGGGCTAAAGTCAGCACCTTTCACCAGGCACATATCCTAGTGGGAGAGGAATGAATAGAGACCTGAACAAAAACTGGAGCTTCGGTGAGGAGAATGCCTGAGAAGCCTTAGTGAAGAAGATGGTCACAGTCAAGTTGAGTTCTAAAAGATGCACAGGAATGTTGCTGGTGGACAAGAGCAGGGAAGAAAGGGGAGAGACAGCATGGGTAAAGGCAGGGGGCTGTGACAGAGCATGTCTCTTTCCAGGTCATGGGGAAACTATATCATCCCACACAAGTCCTGTGTTTCAGGAAGTCATCTGGGGACACAAGACTGCTATTCTATTGAGAATGCCAGAAGAGTTTTGCAGATCGAGCAAATCTTGACGAATTTATAACATTTTCTGAACAGAATGTCCAAATCTTCTGACTGATTCACCCAACACTGATTTTAAGATCAAATGAGGAGCCAAGAACATTGGCTTATACACAGTGGACAACCAAAGAAAGGCAGGGGAGCTCGGCCTAGAGAGGCAGTGGGTTAGCGGGATGATGTCACTCATCTCCGAAGGGCAGGGTTCCGTTTCTGAGCAGAGTAAAGCTGACAAGAGTTGAGACGCTTCTCTTTATCCTGGTTTCCTCTAATGAAATACGGAAAATAATTCTTGCTCTTAACCCAGCTGAAGAGAAGGTTTTTGAGGATAATCTTTATAAACTTATAAATGTCCTTGGGGAAAATGCTATAGAAACTCAAAGTCTTGTTATTCATCCCAGCTTTCAAATGTCTTTTATGCACACATAGGAAAGTAAAAAAAAAAAAAGGCAGTGTGTTCTGCCTTAAAACATCTCTCCTACCTAAAACACAGAGACCCCACACACAGACAACCACAGACATAGATTTCCATTTCCAGCTGTGTTGTCTACCTTGAAGTTCCTACACACTGAGGAGAGAGCTCTGTCGAGGTATGACAATCACTAGGTAGGGAAGAAGGGATCATCTCTGCGCAGGTAGGAGGAGGCCATGTGGCTAATCAAGGCAATTTGAAAATTTAACAAAAGAGAGAGAAAAAACTTACACAGGCTCAAAATCAGAAAAAACAAATTTAAACAAGATGCACTAAAACAAAAAGATGTGTGAAGTCCCATCAAATGTTAAGACTTTTAGGAGAAATGAATCACTTTCCAAATTGCTGTCATGATTTGCCTGTTAATAAGAATGTGCTCCTCCTGGGAAAGTGAGGTTGTTTATGAGATTAATTATTTACTCTTGTGCCTTAACATGATGAAAATGCTTGAGTACATCACATCCTGTTAGTTTCTCTTTTATCTCATTACCTTTATGAAACTCATTGTCTTTACGAAAAGAGAGAGGAGCAGAGAGCAGGGTGGTTGGTGCTAACATATGAGTTTTACTATGTTTCTGAAGGGCGTTTCTGTCTACTGTGCAGCTTTCTGGGGTTCCATGGGGACCAAAAAACCCGGAGAGAAAGCAGTTCTCTTTTGTGGGTACTGTGAAAATAGGTCATGCTAGTGGAAAGATGATTCTGGATATTCCTAGTGACCCTTGAAATGGACATAAGCATCTTTGTACACCTAGCTGATGTTCTGTAGGAGATGAGGCCAGACCAGGTTATGTATTTTGTGTCTGACTAAAACAGCTTACAGTTTATTTACAATTTGTACACACCCAATTTAAGGCTTTTGGCCTGAGGACACCATCTACTACATAACACCTTTAAAAAAAAATCTCTCTTACAGATTTTTCTATATTCCACATAATGGAAAATCACAACACAACACCATTTATAAGATATTGAAAACCAAGGAGTGGCCCAAGATGTCTGCTCCAAGAAACTACAGTAACTGTCTTGGGACTAGAAAGAAAGATTAAACAACTCCCATTCCAGCAAGAAGCATCTGTCTTTTGTCATTCTCCCCAAAGCAACATAAAATGTGCGGAGAATGGCAGCCATTTCAGTGAGGGCAAAGGAGGTCGGCTGTTTGTAACATTTTCCACCATTCCCTTGCAACTAAAACCCAAATCCCATTACTTTCCAACTGCCTATCAAAGGAGGGTGTT